TTTAAAGTATTGTATCATTTAAATTACAATGGACAAAGAATCTGACCAACAACCTACAATCTAGACATTATTTTGGCCTTAAAAGAAATTTCAATATTGTATTGGATTTGACATTTGCTTGAAAATGCAGAATAGACATGTTTTCAGCATGGCACCAAAAATAAGTGCAACAATACAAGAAAAAGTACCAATATATGTATCTAAATCCATCCGGTAGTACTTAGGAATAGAATACGTAAACCTCTTGAGATCAAGGATCAAAAGTATTTGTCAAAGAAATACATTAGATTGATAGTCTTAACCAAATAGGGAACACAAGCAGAAAAGACACCAGGGAAGAGACGCTTCTGATATAGCAGCAGAACTGATAGGACGGACATAAGGGTAGATGGTTCATTCCGGATTTGAGGAAATGGTTCCTAAGCAAAACGGGGAAATAAATTATGTTATCACCCAGGCTCTGAGTGGATATGGCTATTTCCAGAGATACCTACATGGGATTTAAAAAGTAACATCAAATGCGTGTGTATAGTGAGATGATGAATGTAGAGATGGAACTAGTATATGCCGATAACGTCAACGAAAGCAGGCATAAGAGACCCATAAAACATGAAATAACAGGAGAGACTAAAATAAAGGACAATTAATACTTATTGTCTAAAATGTTTCCAACCCGAAATAATAATGCTCATGCTATCCAGGAGTGGTGTACAAGACCCGATGCGGAGTTTTAGTGAGTACGCGGCAACAATATCTTCACACTATCTACTATGTAGTTTGCTAAGTGTCCATTAAGGAATTCTTTACCTTACTTTAAATTTGGCCAGTGATTCCAATTATTACTTTTTCTATATGGGAAATATTACAGACAAGCAGCAGTTATTAAGATGTAGGGTGAGCGTTAGAGGAATTAAACCTGTCAACAGTAAAACCGCTTGGCACTGGCCACGATAAGCGATATAATAAGCTATAAAGACAAGACTACATTGCAGGGTTGTCAGCTTGAACTTTGGAGGTTTTAATAATGAACCATGGTGACATAGTAGGCATCAGAAAAGTGTCCAGAAAAGTGTTCAGAGAAGACATTCTTGAAATTAAAAATTGAAATTAGTGAACCTATATTATGCAAAGCCAAACCAATGAAGGTAGGTCTTCTAGGATCCAAAATTTATCTGCCCAATACCATAATACAATTACACTAAATAACGAAAATAGGAACGATTTATTAATTTAGAAAAATATTTAAAAGAAAAGTCTTAAAGAAGAACTTTCAATTTAAGTAGAAAAGGAGGAACACATATTATTCTTTTGGTACCTTTCTTATTACCATCAATATTTCTTATTCATTCTTTTTTTTATCAAGTATCACCTGCTTCTATTATTACTTCATAAACTACAGAAAGAAAAAATTAGTAAAAATTTGAATATCTTACACTTTTTCTTTAGTGAGTGGCAGACAAAATATATTTTACAACTTTAATGGATTGTCCGTTATCTTGCGATATGAATATCATATCCACTGTTGTTGTAGTAAATACTATTGCACCATTATAGGCAAAAATAGAATTTTAAAAATACTGAATCCTCTACAAATCTATAAGCTCATTATTAAAGATGCATCATTAATTTGAACATTATTTATATCAGTATTACACTGCTATACTATCTAGTTTTATGAACCTATTTTGGAAGGTACCTTTAAAAAATTCATTATTTTATGATTTTAATACATAAGTATATTATTTTTTTATAATATTTAGTATCATTTTATTCTATTTTTCATATTTATTTGGATAAGTTTTTTAAGCTGCATACTCGAATCTTCGAAATGACTCTGTACAAATCAGACTTATCGCATATACACCGCAAGTGTTTGAGAACATAAACTATCCAATTTATGCTGTCTAGCACCATTATTAGTGAACGTGTGGTCTTTCAATGGCGACAGTAAAGAGAAATTATTATTATTGTTGAATTATGTATTAGGTGTATCAAACTATGACTAATTGTAATCACTCTATGTCCCTTTAAGGTAAATCACTATCCGATTAAATCATATTACGATTAAATTAAGAACAGGAAGAAAAAATTTAAGCCATATATGATACAAAATAATATTCCTAGGGAGAATAACTACTCATTTGGCTAAATGTAAAACAGGAATAGAGTTATATCCAACAACATCAGTAATATTATTGTCCGCGTAGCATTTATTTTCCCTTTTGATTAAATTGCGAACTACAAGCGACTTTTGATGTTGCTTAACTTTGTGAGTTTCTAATTTTGCTTAACCAATATCAAGGTATACGGGTGTGTTATAGGCATCTACAGATTTCATTGGAGATTGTCTAAATTTGTAAGGGTTTTTGGCTTAAATGGCATATTCATGGTCAGTTACTCCGGTGCTAAATTATAAGTTGTCTACTCTACTAGGGTAAAAAAAATAGGAAATGGTGAAACCAAACTAATAATAGTAATATTATACCAGGTGTTTCAATGATCTTTGTTTTCAGTAGGGAAACTGTCGCTCGTTATTTTTTGACATAATATACTATGACTTTGAGATTTTGTTTTTCTTTATTTTACTTCTTGGCCGTACTTGAGTTTGGTATAATTTTCTTTATAAAAAATTAAATTATTTCACTATAAATTGTTAGAGATAGTTCTCAGTAGAGACTTATGTAAAAAACTTGCAGTATATTATAAATGTATATTATGAAACTGAAAGATTTTTACCTTAATCTGTACTGAGATCTATATTCTGTTAATGTAAACCTTCTATATTTTGTATAAGTAAAAAATTCCTTGGTTTAATCGGTCAATTGTTTTTATTTTTTATTGGTTAGCACATTACATATTTTTTCAAGTCTACTTGCTTCAGGACTAAAGATACCTGGGACATGCCCCAGGATGAAATGCTAAAGAAGTACAGTTTTGTAAAAAACTTCAAAACCGCAAGGCTGGGCTGCAAGAAAGAATGGAGCCAAGAATCCATCACGCTTGCCACCAAAAGACGTGCTATTCAGTGGTATACGGACGGTTTCAAAACCATAGAAGGAACTGAAATAGGTGTGTATGGGCCGAGAACCAAGTACTCCGAAAACTTGGGAAAATACCCAAGCATCTTCCAGGCGGAAATTCACGCCATCGAGAAGTGTATCCAGTTTAACATCGAGAGAAACTATCATAAAGAAGAGATTATCATCATGTCCGATAGTCAAGCAGCCATCAAAGCGCTAAGCTCATACGTAATTAGCTCAAAAATGGTCTGGAGATGCCTAGAACAATTGAATGAGCTAGGCGAGAAAAAGAGAGTTACTCTTACTTGGGTCCCGGGACATAACGGGGTATAGGGTAACGAGATTGCAGATAGTCTTGCAAGGAAAGAGGCTCAAACACCCTTTGTAGGACCCGAGCCGTTCTGCGGTATCAGCAGTAACTTAATATTAGGAGAGATTAAAAAATAATTGGGCAGTAGAAGAACCGATAATTAGAACAAGCTCATCGGAAGCCTGCATCTGCCTGAGCAAGAACAGACTACGTAAACAGGGATCCTTACCGGGCATTTCCGACTAAAAGGACACCTAAGTAAACTGAGAGTAGTAGAGGATAGTGAGTAGATTCTCTGAGGAGGAGGAGGAGGACGAAACCTCCATTCACATTATAACTGAATGTGTGGCACTCCAGAATCCAAGGGTACTATATCTAGGAGGATATCAAATAGAAGAGGGAGATTAACCTAACTTGAAACCACTTCAAATCCTACACTTCCTTGAGAAAATAGGATTGGAAGGGTCGTTATAGGCATTGAGACATTTCCTTAGTGCAATGGCGATAGAAGGGGACACAATAGATCTTTTGAGTCGCAGTGTATTAACATAACATAACATAGTTAAAAGCTTTAAACTTAAAGTTTGACAATCAGTTGCAAGAGCTTTCATTACAATTTATAAGCCCGGTAAACTTGAACAGAGCTTGAGACAGATATCTGTAAATATCTTTCAAAGTTCATTATGTTCTTGCTGACTAGTTAGTAGATTGATGAAATTCAAATAAAGCAGGTTATGATTCCTCCGTTAATTAACTAGTTTAATATTATACAGGGTGTCCCGAAATTAGACGCTCATATTTTAACAGCGTAATCTACATCCTAAAATATGAGTAAAAGTTTATATAAACATAGGTCCGAAAACGTTTCTTTTCCGAGATACAGGGTGTTAAAAGTGAAGTCCTGATGACACACTTTTGTAAATATTTTCGAAACATTTAAAGATAACTAAGTGAAATTTGGTACAAATGTTTACCTTTTTATGCTCTATTTAATGGACTAAACGCCAGTTTTTGATCATCTTCATAGGTGGGTAAATTAGGGGAGGCTTAGGGTAAAATTGCCTTAAGTTTCTTTTTACAAAAACCAATGTTTTCTTTATAATAAAGCTACTTGTGTTGCATCTCGCTAGGACGCACCATTTTTAAGAGAAAATCATTTGAAAATTTCATAATAAGTTGATGTTATCTTATTCGAAAGTTTAAAAAATAATTAGTAGGCCTGTGGAATCAGAAATTTAGAAAACCGGTGACTAAAGAAATTTTAGAAAATATTTACAAAATTGTGCCATCAGTACTTCACTTGTAACACCTTGCATCTCGACAACGAAACGTTTTTGGACCTATGTTTATATGAAATTTTACTCCTATTTTAGGATGTAGATTACGCTGTTAAAATATGACCGTCTAATTTCGGGACACTCTGTATATTAAATAACATGTAAATAATGTTAGTTTACCAGAGACAATTAATAAATAACAGTTCTTGACGTATTTCCCAACTCTAATAAACATTTACTACAATAACGATTCTATCTTTACCGATTTACATGTAGGTAAACTTAAAGATTCTTTGTTATTTAGACTACTAACGTAGAATTTGTATTAACTTTCTGTTACATACTTTTAAAATGGTTTTAAGGTAAATCATTCATAATAAATAAAAAACTTACCTGGTAAATTTATTCCTGACATCAACAGTTTATCTGGAAGTTCACTAATTCGTTTAGGCCGCGCCACTTCCAACTTTTTATTTAATGTTCCTGGAACAAAGACATATATAAATATAAAAGAACCATTTCATTCAACGCACACATACATGTTTTGATACAATGGTTGCTTAACATGATAAATAATGAAATAAAAATAAATCAATTTTTTGTCTGTACCTATAATTTTATATCGGGTCAAAATCCATGGTCATTTTTTACAGATAGGTACTTATTTGCAACTAGTTAATAAATAAGTTTTTAGTTAAGTTTATGTTTTCTACTATATTTTATATAAGTAACATTTTAGGAAAAAATTACCAAATTTAAGGATGATATTATTTTTAGTTCATGAGATACAGCCGTGGTAAGTTTTTAAATTGCCGTCCCGTATAGAGTTACATACCTTATTTAGGTTTTAGAATCGTATGGAAATGTTGTACGCAACTTTAGAATACTTACAGAGATTATTATAACATCATTAATTATTTTAAACTTGTTTAAATTACAGACAAAAAAGGTACCATGCTATGGAGAATAAAAAAAGTAAAAACTACTCTTCCCAAAATTTTTAATAACAGAAATTGGAAATGGATCGAAAAATTAATGAGGTACATATTATCATTTAAATAGTCGTAGATAAACTGTCGTATTTAGATAGCAAATATGGTTGTTATCGTAATCAGCCTGAGATACGAAGCTTATCTCCGGCTCAGGTCGTAAATTTCTATTCAATATTTATACTTATGATTTGCACAATATTTTCAGCAACCATGTTAACTGTATTCAGTACGTTCACGATTTTTGTTTTTATACCGTACAGAATAGTTACAATTAATGCATTACAGAACTTAAATAGATTGTTTATTGCCTTAAAAGTTGGTTTAGTGAACACGATTTTACAATATCCTCTAACAAATCTGCAGTTGTCTTCTTTACCAGACACAGATTAAACAATCCTCGAAAAATTAATTTGTGTGGTGCAGATATACCTATTCAGAGAACCTACAAATATCTAGGTATTGTGTTAGATAATAAACTTCTCTGGAACGACCATATTACACACACTATTAATAAATGTGAGAAAGGTATAAACTTATTAAAATGTGTCACTAAAACTAAATGGGGAGCGGATCCTAATACCTCCCTGCACTTTTATAGGGCATACATAAGATCTATCATTGATTATGGAGCTGTTCTGTACGGATCAGCAGCGAATACACATTTAAAAAAAGTTGATAGAATACAATAGAGTTCTATAAGAATTTGTTTAGAGGCGCTTAAATCATCTCCAATAAATGCCATTTTAGTAGAGCTTCCCTTTGAATTCAGAAGATATTTCTTGTCCTATAAAAGAGTAGTGCATTGGAAATATTTTCAATATGTCAATCCTTTAAACATTAATATTTTTCAGTTGTATATTGAAAAGTTAACAAATAAATATTGGTCTAAAAAGAACTACCCTCCTTTTGTTGAAGATATTCTAATTTACCAGATTGCATTAAATCCACAACATAATCCAAAAAGCTTCCTATTTTTAAAATTGATTTTTCGATAATATTGTTTAAGCCAACTGTTATTTTTCCGAAATACACTGATATTGAACATTCTAAAAGAGCCGTACTTAATTCAATTTTTACAAGGTATAATAATTTCTTAAAGATCTACACCGACGGTTCAAAAACTAGTGAGGGTACAGGTTATATTTTTTTCATCCCCGATAAATATAATAAAAATAAATAAAATTCACAACTTTTGTACAGTAAACTCCGCTGAGATTATGGCTATAGAAAATGCGTTGGAGTGGTTGATGCTTAATTCCTTCAATGCATTGATAATGTCAGATTCTAGATCTGGTTTAGAGGCTATAAAAAATAGTTCATCCTTTTCCAACTTTGCTACGTCAAACACTATTTGTAACGTCAAAAAATTGCACCAAGACTTGCATAATATAAGATGTATTGTTCATTTCGTATGGGTGAGAGGCCACGCAGGGATTCTCGGTAACAACACTGTTGATCTCTTAGCCAAGGAAGCTACAGCTCTCTCAACCACTCCTAATCATTTCATAGATTATATGGATTCGATAAATGTTGGAAAATATCCGGCCAATAAATGTGGGAATCAGACTATGAAAAATTCGTAGATAGGTTCAATAATCATTATACCTTACCTAAAAAATCTCGCTTATTAGCGAATTTAATGTAAATAGAGCTTATTCAGTAACTATCACACGCTTTAAGTTAAATTACGGTAAATTTCCAGCTCATAAAATAGGTGTCTTAAATACAACGTTTGTTCTTGCGACAATAACTTTACTGCTGATTTAATACATCTTTTTTGCATGCAAAAATCATCACTGAAAATTTTTGTAATTTACGCTGTTTTTTGCCAGTATTTTTACAATTTTCAACACAGCAACTCCGGTTGCTTATTGTATTGTTTATACCTACTTTTTTGAAAAAAAAAGTAAAATGTATACGTGTATTTGATATACCAAAATTACAAAATATCGCCGTAAAATGCACGAGTTATCCTCAGCTAGCGCTAGTAGTATCGCTTTTTCTTCCCCTACCATGACTTCGCGTAAACTATTATAATTTGAAGAATAATAGGCATTAAGTATTTTGTTGCAAATAGAGTCATTCCGATACCAAAGCAAATTCCAAAAAAAAGCTTGCTAAATAATATTGGTAATATTTCTGTTTCATTAGAATTTAAACAATTCAAAAGGTATAATGATCCGTATAGAAAAGAAAATAATAATTTACAAATAAAAACAACATACATTCAGATGACAAGTAAACAAGCCTATACACAAGCTATTCAACATTTTTGCTAAGGCTTCAATGGGTTTTTTATAGGGTTTTATGGTCTATTGAAATGGTCTGAATCTACAGGTAAGCAGTAAATCCAATACAAAAACTCATTTATAATAGTTTTTACGAGATTATTGACCTGTAGAAGTATGGCCGAGTGAATAATATACGCATGGCATCTGTGTACAGGGCGTGTTAATTTAATTTGTCAAATTGATGAAATAAAAATTAACAAATTTTTTTATACTATCGAAAAGGATGAGATTTAAAAAAATTGAATTTTAAAATATTTACTTAAATACTATTATTTTCTGAAAAATAAAAAAAGACTTTCAATTAACTAGACTTTTACTGTTTTCCAACTATCTATAAAATGGGGCTTAGTTTCCCTTATTATTTATGGCACAAAGTTTAAGTGCTCTTAAAATTAAATTATAATTGAATCAGTGAATGGAAAAAGGATAATATTCCAAAATTTTAACTTTTGGGAAATTAAAAAAAAAATGTTTTACAGCTTTATTTTTAGTGTAACAGAAAAATGATCTATTATTAAATTGTAGTGCTATATAAAAGTAGTTTGGTAATAAATTTAATTTTTTTTTATTAATACATTTACCTGAGTTAAGGAGGTTTTAATATTTGGAATATTACCCTTTTTCCGCTCAAAATAAGGAAGTATTATTTTTTATCAAAAAGGAACTTGTTTTTACACTAAAATTATAAGAAACATTTTCCTCTCAAACTTGGCATCGTATATCAATCTTCTTCGTCACCATCACCATCACCTTCTACAGTGGACCAGGTGAGTTTCTCTTCGAAGAATGGAAGAAAGTCTTCAGATATGTATTGCAAAATTTTTTAAGCATCTTCATTCTTTTTCTTTTTTATTGGGACTCTTCCTATATATGCCCTTGTACTAGGTAGAGGCACGTCGTCAACCTTTCTCATTTTAAATTTGTTGACACAAAACTGTCTACGTATTCACCACACTGTACACATCCTCTTTCTGTATATTTGAAGACACTATGTCCTTTGTCCTTACTTACTAATAGTAAAAGGTATTTTGACGGTTGATATCTCTTACCATGTATTTAGGATGAGTTGTCTTAGCATTTAATACAATTTCTTCGTACTGTCCAGGTGAATAAATTCGATCATGTTTACGTACTATACGTTTGATCACACCAAAAGTCCTCTCACAGGGCATAAAACTATGACCACTAACATGATAGTAAAGGTTAACCTATTTGAAATCCTCATTGTTAGAGTAAGCAACAATCTCGTTAGAATGTGGTTGCGGTTTTGCCCACCGCACGCATCACAAATAACATGAAGAATTTCTACTTTCTTTGGAAGAAACTTTTCAATAAAATCTAGTACCAAAGTGCAAACCTCGTTAGGCACTTTCTTGCATTCTCTTTCCGGATAGTTATAAAATATAGATGTTCCAGTTTTGAGGTCTTGAATATTGAACACATAATACCATAGTTTTCTCAGGTAAAACATCTTCTGCACAGGCATATAAGGCAGAGGCAAATTTTGCATATAGTCAAATACTATTCCAATTACTTTTGGATCAACTCTTATAAAACTTCGTTGCCCTGTGTTTATGCACCATGAGTTTATCAGCAGCGACACGTCTTGCGCCATCATTTAAAAAAGTTGATTTGATCTTGGTATTTAACTCTTCACAGGTAGAATATGTGGTCGGCCAATTTGTAGTTAAAATTTTCTTTGAAATATTTAAGGGAGTATTTATATTTCACGGCTGTTTCCCAAGAATAGGTAATGAATTTTCGTCGTTGTCAACGCTGCTTTAAGGTAAGTTATATAACTATAATAAGAAATGTGCGTTGGAACTTATTTGATGTGATTATGTATTTAATTAGTAACAGAGGCTGGTATTGCACGTGCTTTGTTAGGATGTCGACCACGACCATCTCTTGGTGATTTGTTTGCATTCAGCAGATATTTCAGTCAAGCCAATGCTTTATTAGATATAGCATGCAAGCTAATGAATGCATTACGGCATATTTTATTACAAATATTGCCTTGCATAGCGAAATATGTAAAAGAAGAAGGGATTTGTTTCGAGTCTGTTTGGGTAGGACGATGCATAGAAACGTCATGTCTTTTTATTAGACCCAACAAGTAGGTATATTTTTAATTTTTTGGTTGCCCATTGTATAAAGACATGCATATTGCTTATTTTCATTTGAGAAATTGTCCATGCAT